CTGCAGTGAGTTCAGGAGGCTGAAGATGTAGGCGATAACCACGGAGAACGGCACCAGGACTCCACAGAGCCAGGTCAGGCCCAGGATCGGCAACAGAACCAGTATGGATTTCACTGCCGCCCTAAAACACAAAAAAAGCACACAAAATCAGAACAGGAAGATCTGATATGGAAAACACATTGTTTTATTTATAATCATGCATGCATATGATCACACACACACACACACACACTCCTCTTTGGTTTTACACTGGAGACAGATTTCAGGGGTCATTCCCAGCACAACAGGAGCTGCTGCTTATTCTCACATTGTGACAATTTCCACGCTAAATCGCTTTTAATTCTGTTTAGTATAAAATTACCTCCCTATTCAGGTAACCGCTAAAGCGAACCAGCTGCTGTCCGAACAGGTCCTGCCAAGCGGAGGAAGCGTGTGTTTGATTTTCCTTGGAGAACGCTGTATTTGACCACGGCCTTTCAAGAGTCACATTGATATTTTTTACACACAGGGGCCTTCTGAGGGCCCCACCTCAACGACTGATGCCGGAGGTCCAGGCTCGTCCAAACGCTGGGTACATGTGGCAGCTTAATTTGCGTTATGGTTATTTATGGTCTCAAGGAGAAGCTGAATCTATAAACCAACATGAGAATCAGTATAAAGGCCTGTTTTTAAAAATATAACGCTGGATTCCTGCAGTGAAGGAGCTGCCTGAAAGTTTACTTTGTGATCCTTGCAAAAAAAAAAGTCGAATCATTCCATTAATGGACCAAAAAACAAACAAAACATTTGATGTTGAAAGAGGCTGTAATGTGCAAATAGATCATTTTAATAGAAAGCCAACACGACTGAGGATCAGGACCACGGTTCACGAGCACAGCTGTGAAAGGGTGCCTCCATGTGGCGATTCTTAAGACAAAAAAACGTATAATAGAGCACCGAAGAATGAGCTAATGAGAATCCTTCCCCTTCCCGTACCTGAATACGAGAGGGAGAGAGGTGTCCTACCTTATCTGCTCAGAGACTTGCTCCTCCGGGCTGTTGTTCATCATCAAAGATCTTCTCTTGGCTGTGGCGATGGTGATCAGGACCACACGGGTCAGAATCATGATATTCACCTAATACGCACACATACACCAAATTAAACATTAAGTATAAATATAACATAATTATTCAATTAATAAAATATATAATAAACATAAATATTATAATTTGTAATAAGCATACATCATATATATATCATAATAAATATTCAATATATGCATATATACGCAAGTGCACATATAAAAAATTATTATATATACTAATTTATAATAAACATGTTTGTGAGTATATATTTGTAATTTTATTATTGTTATGTTATATATATATGCACATAATAGAAAAGTATAAACATTAAAATATTTAATAAACAAATACTATTATATAATAAGAATATACTGTAATATAACATTTATAAATATTAGTACATATTGTAAAATTATAATACATAATAAATATGTGCATATATGTAAAGAACACATTTTATATATTCGTGTTATTTTATATATATACAAAAAACCATACAAAACAGAAATATGTATGTATGTATGTGTTTTTGTTATATATATATATATATATATATATATATATAATTATATTAAAACAAACATTAAAATAGTATTTGTTTATTATATATTATATAATAAAAATGTAATATAAAAATGATAAATATTACATATTGTAAAATTATAATAATACACAACATGTGCATATATATGTGTGTATGCATGTGCATATATATATATATATATATATACAGTAGTCAACATTTGAAGTGGAATCAAAAAAGTTCATCAAAGTTGTCCTAAGACAAGAACGGGTATTGTTCAAAATTCATGTATAACTTTGATGAAAGGGTTTGATCCACTTTGTTGACTACTATATATATATAAATAAAATAAAAAATAACATGTTTTATATATTTGTGTATTCTTTTATTATTATTATATAAAAAATACCATACATAACAAAAATATGTCATATGTATGTGTGTTTTTAATATTATTCTTTTATATAAAATATATAACAATAATAATAGATGTAGAGACACACCATAACAATGAAGATGACTGGGCCGGCAAAGCCCCATATGACGCCGTTCTGAACACTGAGCCAGCAGTGGCCATCGGCTGAATAGTTCCCAGAGGCAGAGGCCAGTGTGATGGTAACGATCAGCACGGGCAGACCTGTTCAAGCACAGACATTTCTATATTACAGGTCTCTGAGTGGGACAAAAAGCATTTGGACAAAAAATACTTTCACTATTACTTTCAACCAAGTGGCATCTTTTTGTCATCATTTGGATTTTTTTAATGAAATGCGTGTCTTGAAAATTATGCTTGTGCTCTTAGACAGGGTAGTAATCCTTGTCTAAGAGAGAAGGAAAAAGCGTACTGTGAAAAGAAAATTATAGAAATACTCAGTGGAACAATAAAGTACAAAACCAGCATTCCTGTACTCTTGAACCCAATCAATAAGTGTGCCTATCCACAACAGATCGAAGAGGAGATCGGAGGGGCGGATTGCCATTATTACCCCAGCCAATCAGGTAGTAGTATTTCATGTGGCGGTCCTCGCTCAAATTAACGCTCACTACTTTGCTCCAGAGCAGCAGGCCCTCAACCAGCATCCAGCTGAACGCTGCCAAGAAGAACAAATGCATCAGAGCTGCCACAAGCGTGCAGGCCACCTACGGGGCAGAGGTCAGAGAGCAGGCAGTCAAGGGTCAAAAGGTCAAACATCCACACAAACATGGCCGTACGCCAGTTTACGCAATGCCAAATATGGCAACAACACTGAAGTTGTTTTAAGGCATCAGACTGCTAGTACGATTTTGCAATTGATCTAGAAAGACTTTAAAAAATGACTAAAAAGTCTGTATAACGATCCCAACTAACATTTAAAAAAGCAATAAGCCACTTGCAGATGTGATTTTACAGTGTTGTTAGACACTATGCAAAGTTGACATCTTAAACAAAGTAAAAACACTAACACATGACCTTGTGTGGTAAATACTAAAGTTAAACAGATAATTACTTTAATAATATTAATACATTTATATTACTATTTTAAAAATAACTAAAATGATTCAATGAATCTGCATAGCAGTGTTGATATTGTAAATAAAAATATTAAAATCATTTTAGGTCATTGAAATAAAGGTAAAAATTAAATGCATATTAGATTACAAAAAATAAATAAACTTAAGAAATAAATAAGTTCATGAAGTAAAATAATTAAATTACTAAAACTAAAGAATTTGTTTTAAACTATACAAAAATATTTAAAATAAAATGACAAAAGCATACAACAGCATTACTAATACTTAAATGAAAATTGCAAATATAAAAAAGCTAATTCAAAATATTAATAAATAATGTACTAGTCTACAAATAATATTAAAATACCACTGCTCCATAATCATTTAATTAACGATTTAGCAACTTAGCACATTGTTGAGACAGAACTATTGATTGATTGGTAATTAGTTATTCTATTAAAACCAACAATAGTTTTAAAAGTTGTGCAACCAAATGAAAGTGTGAAAAACATTGTACCTTATTGTGAACAGCAGAACCACTGCAGAGAAGGACAATTTGAGCACAAGTCAGAGACACAAAAAGATTCTTGTGGACTGATGTACGATCAGATTTCGGGATGCTGTTAAAACAAATAATGGCAAATGTCTATGAAATAGAAATTTTTTTTGGTTTATTTTGGTAAAACAGATGAAGAGTGTGTGTGTGTGTTGATTAGTGGCAAACAGGCCATAAATCTCTTAAAGAAATCAGCTTGGCTGATACTGCGCTGATTAACCTCCCTTTGTGTGACCCTTTCCTTTAATTAACTCCCCTGTAATGTCACCATAAAACTTCGGCTTCGAGCTCATTTGGCACAGAGCGCTAATTAGCCGATTAGTGGTTTTCAATACGTATTCAGCCTCACGACTGAGCGCTATTGACAAGCGCGAGGACTGTGAGCTCACAGACTGTGATTGCGAGCGACTGCGAGTTGAGCAAATGTTATGCTATGTCATGACCTTTATGAACTCAACAATAGAAGTCAGTCGTCATAAAGATAAGATAGTGAATCAAATGATGCCAGAGCAACATCATGGAATGGGAATATGCTTTTGGCGTGGTAGTGCATCCGTGAAAACCACTTACTCTAACACGGTAAACAGCATCAAGGTCACCACCAGTGCGCAGAGAGAGGCTCCGGATCCGATAAATGTCAGCTTCGTCAAAATGCTCTCCTCTTTAGCACTCCACTGCAGGGAAAAGACCCATCAAAACACAACGATCTTACATTTCTCACACTCTGTCTCTCTCTCATTCTAACTGTCTGGAGATATAGGTTAACTAATATATATATATATATATGAGGGTTTGATGACTCTCATTGATGTCTAGTGCCACTATATAACCATCCAGTGCAATAAGAGACCATATTTGCTCCTATAGCAGAACTTCTCACATAATTGTGAATACAAAATCACAAAGGCCACTATTAAGGCTTGCTTGCTTTTGTAAGCCCACAGTGACCTCTACTGGACAGATTGCGGTGTAACATAAAATATGATCAGTGAAGACATTATCTTTATAATGATTAATGATCATTTTTAAATGGCTTTTAAAACACTTTTCAGACTTTTAAGACTTAAAGGGATATACACTGATCATAATGTATACCAAAACATTATGAACAGTGACAGGTGAAGTGAATTTTATTGATCATCTTCTAACAAGGCCACATATTAAGGTCTGCCAACTCTCACGCAATTGACAATAAAAGTTACTTATGACATAAAAAAAATTTCAGCTCTCAGATTCTGTCAATTCTATTACGAAATTCAAACAATAAATGCCGTTTTGAATCTTGTAAATGTGACGTGACAGATCCCTAGCGCCTCAGTTCAAGCGGCACATGAACCGATCATCTCTACTAGCTAATTGTAAATAATCACGAATGAACAATGTTGAAAGATACAGTACAACTTACCGAAATGTATATTCCTCATACATAATATCGATCAATCAGTGTTTTTTCAACGGCGGAAAGAGGTCGGGAAAAACAGCGGGAGAACAATTATGTCACATAACATTTACCTCAGGAAAGCCATTTAATGACCATAATATATAGCACATTAGTTGGCTAGAAAAAAGAGCTATAGAGAGTATTTTGCTAAATATTTGTACTATATTACATATTTATTATATTTTTTACTTATATCATTAAATAAAGTTGTTATTATATTAAAAAAACGCATTATATTTCATTTGAGTTATCTCTGTACGTTTACAGCATTAGGTGAGTTTTTTTTTTTCTTGAGAAAAATTTACATCTATTTTGTGTACCTAATATTTATTCAAATGAGTCGATATTGAATCAAATCACAAGAATTGAATTGAATTGAAATCGTGAAATTTGTGTCAAGCTATAATAAAAAAACGTACCTTACCAGAAATTGTACCATGTAAACATTGTAACATGTTGTCACTAAACCTAATAAAATTCCCCAGGCAAGGCAAGGCTTGTGTGTTATATGTGTGTGTGTGTGTGTGTGTGTGTGTGTGTATTTGTTACAATTCAAAGCACATACTCTGAACATACCCATGGCTCCATATAATTCATTAGGACAGCAAAATTGGTGGTGTGGTTGCAAAAGCAGGATGTGACATCAGGAGGAGAAGGCAACACTCTGCACCCTTTACTGGACCAAGCACTTGTACGACCCGCCCTTTGGACATGAGACACTAAATCAGACCCAAACAAGAGACTGTAATATGACAAAACACCAGTTAAGTAGTTTTATAACATGATTTCATTCACTTACATGAATTCGATATTCCAAAAAACACAGACGGGCGTCACTTGCTTGGAGTACTCTGCCTGAAGGAAAAATATAAAACTTTTCTATGTCAGAGCATTATTATTTTAGTATCATTGATACAATATTATAGTTTTATTTTAATATTTCCTGTTTTATTTTAATTTTAGTTAAAGTTTTAATAATTTTGTTGTGTTTTGTCTTTTGTCTTAAGCCTATGGTAGAGGTTATTCGAAGATATTAACTTAACTAAAACGGCAAATAAGAGTGTTTTTTTTACCATAATTCCAGAGGATAGAGAGTATTGGACGGACACAGGAACATTTTCTGCCTTCTGCACATCCCGCACTGTCGCTGAGATTACTGCCGTGTCTAGCTGACCAGTGTGATGCCTAAAAATAAAGAAACAGAATAACCCGGGTTTTTCCTGCATTGAAAATAGTATGTTGTCCCGCCAAAGATTTATTTGACCATTTAATGTGACGATAACTGCTTTTCTGCAATATTGGAACCCGCTTTTTCAATATCTGCTTTCAAACGCTCCAGTGAGTGTATGTGTAAACGCTCTATGAAGAGCATCAAAGGTTTCTATTTATAATGTGTTTTTGCAGCGTTGAGCAATATAGCCAATCACAGACATATCTGTTGAGCGTGTGAACGCAATGGCCAATCAGAGGTGTTTAAGTTTGTCAGAATCGGCTCAAAACACCACATCGGCTCAATATAACACGTAAACACGATGTCAATAAGAGATTCATTTCACAGCTTAACAGGAGTTTTCACCAGAGTGCAGCTTTGTGTACCTTGCGTTGTAATTGACAGCTTCAGTGATTATAATGGTGATCCTTGCTCAATTTCTGTATATAATATACATTTTTCATGCTGCTGAAGACACATTGCAAAGTTTCTGGATTGACAACCATATTTAAATGTGTGATTGAAATACGACTGACAGTGATAACCATAGTAATGGACAGAACAAAACAATCAGATACTGTATGTCAAATGATCTGTCCACTAAGTCTTGGAGTGTAGGCTAAATGCACTTCTATGTAATGTATTACTTTGTTGTTCACTCAGTAACTTGTTTTTACATTTAAATTTACAGATTTTTATATATGAAATAGTTCTGAGCACATGATCTTTATGATCTGACCTGTCAGTGATTGTTTTTTATTTCATGACTGATTAAGATAAGTTAATATTACAAACTGTTTCTTTGCATTTATTTTGAATTTATTGTCAGTACTGGGTTCGCAGTTCACATGGGTAGGGTACTTTTTACTGTGTGTGTGGATGACCGTGTTCTTCTGCCGCCACCAAAGACCATTTTTTGACCCAGGAAAAACCCTGATCGCGTTACAATAGCAATTAATAATTAAAAGATTTAAATTCAATTTGGTGTGGAGAGATTCAGGAGGCTCTTGCTAACCTCTTGCCATTGGTCTGTTGGTCACCGGGTGTTTTGACCTCCACTCTGAACGACTTCTCTACCAGGTTACTGTAGTAGCTATAAATAAGCATGACATCGTTGTGGCCTGTCAAATAATATTAGAAGATAAAGATTCTTTAAAACTGGCTTGCATCACAACATGTATCTTTATAAATAAGCAATTTTTAGCCTATTCTCACCCAATGAAAAGACTCTCTGCATTTCTGACTCTGATATGAGGATCTCATCATGGCCGCTGAACTGACCGCCGTGAATCGAGGGCTTGAACACATAACCGCAGCTCATCTGCGCCAGCCCTCGCGGCTCCAGATGAATATCTGAGGAAGCAAAAGTCTCTTGACTCTAACAAACTCGTACGGTTTTTATGGTGGGACAACCAAAGTAGCCATGGCTAAATATTAATAACTGCATGAATACAATAACAGACAAGAGAGGTTTATCTTTATTACTCCACCTCTCAAGAAAACAAATATTGACTTCTATTTGTCAGAGGTCTAAGATTATGCTACCAAGTCTAAATGAGGCAAAAAAACACTGTACCCATGTTCTTTGTTGACACTGTGAAGCTTTTGCGCTCGGCCCATAGCTCATCCGCCAATGTCCACAGCAGCTTGTCAATGTTCTCTACCATTGTCAATGGTCCGAGGTAATTCTGAGATAATAGAGGAAGCATACTCATAAACCTGACATAAGAGTTACCATCCACTTTTTTTATTTTTTTTGAGGATTTGGCTCCAGAAGAGCAGGGTAGAACCAACTCCAATCGCACAACATACCCCGTGATCTCTCAAATTCTCCCATTGTTCAGCCATATCAGGGTCGATGAGTCTGCTAACTAGTTCCAAGCAATTGCGGATCATGAATATGAAGACGTCAGTGGGAACAGCTATTTTTTTGAGTTGAGCGGCCTTCTCGATGGTTTCGATGAGGTACAGGAGATCAGAACGTGTAATAATGTCTGCATTGCTGTCCATAATTCTCAATATGGCACTCAAGAGGAAAATATGACGAGTCAATTCGTTCTCAGAGAACAAGGTTACGTTTGTATTCTGTGGAGAAAGGACAATGCACTATCAAGTATCACGTTATATGTCTATGTGTCAATACTGACTTTACTTTAATCTAAAAAAATGAAGGATAGGTTAAAAATAAGGAGGAAATGGATTTGCAATGCTAAGAAGCCATTTCTCCATGAAATCTGGAGGTTTATAGTGAATCTAATAAAAATCAGCCTTGAGCTCTAACTCACAGATTTGGAATGAAACTCATTGCTGACTTGTGAGAAGAACGAGGTCCCAGGAAAACCTAAGAAGTCCAGCTGCTCTGAAATAAAGAAGGAAAAAACCTGGATTATCACACGTGTTGAAAATGCACAAGAAATTGCATTGCCAGAGCTCAAAACAAAATACCAACAAAAAAAAACCCTAGGAAGTCACTGGTACCTAAAATACAACATATTGTTAAAATGAATCTTTACTTACAAATTTTCATATAAGCAACCAGTGAATGAATAAACTAATGTAAGTCTCACAACACTATGCATCACAATAATGGTTCATGGTTAGTTTTCAATAGGACAAAACAGAAAAATGATTTGCAGTTCAGTGAGCCATTTTTATGAACGATTCACAGTCTGATTCTAACTGAAACTTGGGAGGTTCATAAGAATCATTTGTCCATGAATCGGATATGTTGTTGCATGCACTCTAATGAGATGAATGACATCTGACGAAATCGCAAATGATTTTCCAACTGTCTCCGATGGAGATGTAATTTATTATTAAAATATTATTACTCGAAAGCAGGTGATCACCTTTTGGGAACAGGCAAACACTTCCTCTGTGCGTCAAACATGAGTCATTAATCGGTATCCCACTTGCAGGGTCAAAGGTTACACAGGCCTTGTTAGACATGAGGATGGAAAAATTGTGATGCAAGCCAGAGATAAGTTGGTCTGGTGGTTGGCTTTTGGAACCTAAAAGAAACAAGAACCAAATATAGTTTAGCAGAAAATGGATCCTTTTGAGCAAACTCTGAGGCTGCCGAACAGCCAGCAAGCTAAGTTTGCTTCTAGTCTGCCAATTTAAGAAGTCACCATGAGTCATAGTTCTTGAGCTCTCCAAGTCTGTGAGGACCATTATGTCCTCTCTTCAGAAAAGAATAGGGAACTCTGGGTCCATGGCTCATGTGATGGGAAGTGTATGATCCGAAGGGTGGGTCTCAGCATTACCGCATGGATGAAATATTTACAACCATCTCAGCCTGAGGTTTCCAATCACAACTTGGCTGTATTCGCAATTTCACATTGGTGGAAGAGTGGAAATTATAACTCAAAGATTTGAGGGCGCAATACCCCCTCCACCATCTCTACCTTGACAAGGCGAGTTCCTTCTGCGTGTCTGTAGCGACGTCTCTATTTCCAATGCGGACTCATTCCATTTGAAGAACAAGCCAGAAGGAACGGGTGAACAAACTTTTTCCATGCTTTGGATTTCACTGTCGACCAACAAACGATCCCACATGTACAGCTGCGTAACGTTCCCACAAAGCGCCTTGCCACTGTTGTAGCCTCCATAGGTCTCCTGGTCTTGTCCAATCATGAAAAGGCCATCTCCTCCGATGTAATTCAATGAGTTGAAAAAATTCCCAGAACCCACCACCGTTCCATCCACCCAGATGCCCCACTTTCCACTATTCGCAACCAAGCTTGCACATACAAAGTGCCAGGAGGCATCATTGGGAAAGCCTGTTACATAGGTGGTGTTTGAACCATGCACCAGCAATGCGAGCTGGACGGGTTCATTCCCTGTGATTCGTGCTTGGAGTTGGAATTCTTTAATGAATGACTTTATGGCATACGAGAAGACTGTGGAAAGTCCTTGGCAAGTTGGATCAAGCTGGAGGTGAGCGCAAACCGTTAGCGCTTCCATGTTTGGGAACGTATGGCGGAGGCGAGCCGATTTCCGGTGTGGCCGCACTGGAAATTCCAGCATGTATATATCTGGAGGACCTAGAAATGTTTTAGAAAACAACATGCAATATTTATTAAAGAAAGATACAAATGCATGAGATGAGCAGGGAAACATAGGATATGGCACGCACCACTTTTTTGGAACATGCCTGCACTTTCTATCCATACAGGTTGGGTGATATTCAGGGACCGTAGAAAAGTGTTCAGTTTTTTAATCTCTTTGGTACTGGACACCACCGCTAGGGTCCCTGAACGCTGGAGGCAGAGCTTGCGGGCACTGAGCCATGGCTGGCGATCTGGCACGTACTCAGGGTAAAAGTCCTCATGTGTAAGCGGGGTTTTGCTCTCCACTGTAAACACAGGGGTGTTTTGTTTAGACTCAAACAGCCTTACATCTTATGCATTTGACACTTTATGTGTAACAAACAGTGAACAGATTGTAATTCTGTCCATGTGATCTTAAACTATCCTTAAGACTCTGTTAGTAACAGATTGAATCTTTCATACTAACATCTTAGTAAGACGATTATAACAGAAATCAGTCATCCGATGAGCCTATATTTCAATTTTAAGCATATTACATTAAACTTTAAACTTTGAAGATCATAGGAATGCTGTGGTTACCTTTTTCCATGCAGTGATGAATGAGGACCTTGAAAAAAGTTTTGTAATTATATATATTAATAATATTAATTAAATAGCATTATTTTTATATGAATTATATAGTTTTGTTATAATATAATAACATTATATTACACATTAACATAAGAACTCATAACAGTATATTGTCAAACGTATGTATTAGGATATGGACTAGGCTACTTACAATAATGTTGGAGCACATAATTTTTAACAGATTCATCCTGCAAACAAAATACTCATTAACAGTGGGCATATTAACAGCTCATAAACATATTAATGAACAATACAACGAAACGCTTTTAATTTGACAGTTTTAAACATTTTAAACTAAAATTGTTACAGGGAAAAACTTAAGGTCAGCTCTAGCAGAAACGTAATGATGTCATGTATATTTAAAAGCCTCAAACAGAATAGAACTGCACATTACCTGATACGAGGTAAAGTTTTAGTCGTAAGTCATATTTACCTCGAAAAGTAAAGTTTAGCAAACAGTTCGCATGCGCTTTCCGTTGAATGTGTTGTTGTGAGGAACTCCTGTGTGAGATCATGAGAAGCAGCGCGCGCCTCCCGCTCGAAGAGGAGAGAGTAATTCCCGCCACTCCCCTCACGATGGACATGATGTTTCGAGTTTGTGAGGTCTAAATAGAATTGTGTTTTACTATGAGAATGGATCCATTTTGTTGTCAGTTATAAAGACATTTATGTTGTAAAGAACATTTTAAAAATCAACCTTTGTCCACAACAGTGGGGACAAATTAAATTAAGGAAAATAACGCCATTTAGTTTACACTTTTTACTAATTGATTTTTAGCATTTTATATAAGTTATACTATTTTTATGTAACTTATTTTAAATAAAAATTATTTTGTGGCCCCTTGAATGTAAACATACTTCAGATAAAAGATTAAGTAAAACATGTCATACAACGGAAACAGAAATAAAATATAAATACAATTTGTTACTTTGTAATTGAACCATTTTCCATTGGACTCCAGTTGCAACCAAGAATTCACACACATACTTTCATATTTTATGGGAACTTTCCACAAACGCAATTATTTTTTTTACTGTACAAACTGATATTCTATCCCCTTACACTAACCCTACCCATCATAGAAACATCACTTGGGGACCAAAACATTTCCCCACAAGGACAAGGATTTCATATTTTGCCATCTTTGTGGGGACATAATGTAGGGCATACCAGGGCATACCTACCACGCACACACACACAATATATTAGTAGATAAAATATATAAAGCATGCAGTACGCTGTATGTTTAAATAGGACACCAGACTTATTGTCCAAGTGAGTGTTTATTAATGAAAGTATAAATTAGTGTGAAACAATTACATGATCCAAAGTAAATGCTGCTACAAATGCTAAAAAAAACTCCATGCGAATGAAATTGTGAAACACCAGCATTACCAAGCCTGTGCAAATGTTTCAAGTGCAAAAATATATCCAGAAGTGCACAAGTTATTAAAGACTTATGTGCTTGATCACTTGCAAAATACACAGAAACCCATCTTTTTAAGGTTATACTATTAAGCCCTTCATTAAATTCCTACAATTAAATACAAATTATTGTAGGCCTGAATGAGTGCATACTGTAAATACATCAAAATGAAAAGTGAGCCAATTTTAGCAGTAACAATTATAGCCAATTTGGTTATATACATGACTAGTACCCCTTAAATCCAAATCACACCCAGCGGGCATCCCTGGAACATGTGCTAATACCTGAGGAAAGAGAATACACAACTTTAGGCACGGTCCGATTTGAGTTGCCATTTAGATAACATTGTTGAACAAAGTTTCTATCTGTGCCCAGCCTCTGTATTCCGTCTGTGCATTTATCAAACACCTCTGGCAAAGCCTGCAGCGCAGAGTGCACTTTATCACGGGCAACCATGACGTTCTTCACACACGGAAGCTGAAGACAGCCGGAACGTCTTCCGTCCATTTCACACTGAAGGCCATTGATGACATCATCAATCGTCTTGGATGAAGACAGTATAGATTGACTAAGGGCAGCATCGCCACTCCCTGTATTATACATTAATAAAATGAAGTCACGTCACATATTTGACATAACGTGTGCATTTCATATGCATGTTATTGAGGCAAAAAATGCCTTACCTCTCAGATAGCGCGACAGAGACGAGTGGAGGTCTTTGATCGCCTTGTTCAGCTTGAGGAGTTTAACGGTGGTGCTATGAACATCACACAAGTCTGAGCCTTCATCTTCCTCTGAACGATTCTCAGTGGAACCTGACCTCTCCTGTGAAAAAGCAGATGTGAACAAACAGCTCTTAAACATGAAATCCAAACAAAACTACACCAAACCAAACAAACTTCCCAAAAACAAAACTAAACAAAAACTCAAACAACGCCCAAGAAAAAATAATTACTACAACCAAATAAAAACCCCACCAAATAAAACCAAACAAACCTCCCAAAAACAAGACCAGAATTAAAAATTAAAACAAAAATTAAAGACCACACTAAAAACTCAAACTAAACAAAACCAAACCCAAACAACCCCACCAAAAAAAAAAAAAAAAAAAAATCATTAAAAAATGTCAATCAAAAACTAAATAAATAAAAACAGAAACCAAACAAATCTCCCAAAAATCAAGATAAAACAATTAAAAACAAAAACTAAATAATAAAACAAATAACCAAAGCAGGAACTCAAACAAACCGAACAAACCCTCAAAAACAAAATAATGATTGAATAATGATTCAATTTGTTTTTTGTTTGATTTGTTTGATGTACAATATTTGTTTTTTTGTACAAATAAGAGACCCAGTAATATATACATTTTAAAAAAATAAAACATTTATTTATATATATATATATATATATATATATATATATATATATTAATAAATGTTTTTTTTAAACTGGGTCAGTAATATATACATTTAAAAAAAAAACATGTATTATATATATATATATATATATATATATATATATATATATGTGTATGTGTATGTGTATGTGTTTATTTTTTTTTAAATGTATATATTAATGGGTCTCTTATTTGTTTTAGCCCACAGGGTTTAGGCACGGTGGGTGGGTTTAAGGAAATGGGAGAGTAGGTGAGATGGATCCATTTTTCCTTATCCCAGCATCCCATTCTGTTGCTGAACAATAACATCGAGCCTGTAGTTTGTGTATTGAAGATAACAGTTACAGCCTCATTAAGGTGACAGATGACGCTTTACTCAATCCATTTATTTTCTAAACAGCAAAACGACCCAAGACGTGTGATAAGACCGCTCAGGTTCGACGTTTTACAAGCACTGTCCCCCTCATTCATTGTTAGGGTAGTCATCAATCCAAAACATTTAACCTCACTGACAAAAACAGCTGTTTGTAAGGCGTACCGACAAACAGCAATCGAAGTAGCTTTTCAGAGTGTGGGCGACATCATATATGGCGGACTGCTGAATCTGTAAAACATAAAAATCAACAAAGATTATAAAATGGTGCTAAAGTGTATAAATCAGTTAATATAAAACATTTAAATGTATTTACACTATTATTTGGATCAATCAAGATTTCATTGTAAGGTTATTTCTTGAGTTATATAATATATAATAATATAATATTCCATGTTATTTGTTAAAGGTGCACTGTTTAATTTTTAGTGGCATCTAGTGGTGAGGTTGTGAATTGCAACCAACAGCAGTTATGGTGGTAAATCAGGTTTACTTGATCATTCAGTAAAACGATATGTTATTGCGAATATTATTGTTACTTGTTCATCATTGTGTCAGTGTTTTATTCGCTGACTTTAGCTAGCTTCTTTGCACGAAGAACAACAGTGACATTTGTCCGTTTAGGGCTACTGTAGAAACATGTCGGCGCAAAATGGCTATTTCAATGTAAGGGGACCCGCGGTGTATGTAGATAGAAATGGCTCATTCTAAGGTAATACAAACATAACGGTTCATTATGTAAGGTCTTTATAGACCACTAAAAACAGTTATGTATATGATATTGCATTTCTGTCAACAAATTCTCCTAAATATTACACAATGCACCTTCAAGTGAAATATTTATTAAGAGAACTTACCGGTGTTCCAGCGCGACTCATCTGAGTGTCTTGAACCATCTCAGAAGAGATTCTCAGACCCATGAAGAGAAGATCTGTCACACTTTGATGCATCCCATCCTGCAAAGAATCCACAACTGACCTCTAAGGAGAAAGAGCAATTAAAAACAAGAGAACACAGTAGTTAGATTGGTCAAACCTTTCCTATGTAAACGTCAGCAAGTGCAAAAGATGAGCAAATTACCCACATTGTTTATGTCCTCTGAACCAAGTTCAGACAAATGAAGATCAGTCCCATTCATTGCCGCCAGCAAACCGATAGTTTTGAGAGCCACGTTCATACAATCAGCAACCTTCCTCTGGGCCTCTGTTACCATGGAGGAGATCTCAGAGTCACAACCCTAAAGGACGAAGACACAGAAAGACCAACACGCTCTTGTGAGGCCAAAAAAATTACCCAAAATTCCAATGTTGAAACACAAAACCCCACTAATTAACTACATTAGTTACATGAACTAACAATCAACAATACTTCCATGGTATTTAATAATCTGGTTTCTGCAGCTTTTATAAAAATACATTTTTTAAACCAACCAAGTAACAGTTGACAGATATTTGTTCTTGTTATAAACTCACTTCATTTTGATCAGTTTTCCAAGACTTAATTTTTATGTTTACACCTCAAGTAAATGTATTTTGATTTAATGTTTAGATATTTGTATTGGATTTAAGACCTTTTTAAGACCCGCAGAAACACTGTTGCTAATTTCAACATTTAGTAATACATTTCTCTTATCAAAAGTTGTATCTGTTAATATATATATATATATATATATATATATATTAGGGCTGCACGATTTGGGGAAAATATCATATTGCGATTATTGAGGTCAATATTGCGATAGCGATATAATAAACAAATGGTTTCATGAGTCAACTTGCTTGGTTCTAAAGCAAAATGCACACACAGATTAGTGATAATTCTGAAAAGTGTATTTCTCAACTCAAACTAGCAACAACAACTAAATGATTGATAACACCTATTATGATCAATAAGCCATTGATGTCTGGATAAAAAATCATTTAATTTTAATACAAGTGAACTTCAAACAATCCTCACATAAACCCATAATAAATGTCATATTTACCTGTGCTCTTCCTGTCTACAGGTAGGACATATACAAAAATTGAATAAAGCTATCAAACAGTCTGCGCTGCATAAATTATAAATTATATGGACTAAAATCCTATTTAAAGCTACACAAGTTCTTTGGTCAAGAGCAGTGAGTGTTTTTCTCTGTTTCCTTTGTTCTTTGATTAACTTTACTGACAGAAAGCATTATTGGATGCTGGCCCTTTAAGAGTTGCTGACAGAGATGCGGATCTCACACGCGCCTTATTCTCTCACAACTCTTTACAACCATCATAAGACTGCTCATATGTTATGAAAACACTCGACAAATTATATTTTGGCATAATTGTGTGGGTTATTGTTCGTTCACTTCAAGCGGAAAGAGAACTGTATTCTGGCACGCGGGCTGCATGCGCATGATACTGGCGCGCGTCTTTCAGTCAGGACATTCACAGGCAGCGTGCTCTATTTTGACTTGTCTCGCTGAATGGTTTAACCCTCTGGGGTCCTTCATTTCAGAGTCACACTCAGGAACTTCGGGTCCAAATGGGCCGGAAGGGTGAGATTAATATTTATTAAAAAAAAAATCATCTTTTTTTTTTTTTTACTTGTTTTTTATAATATTTTTTCTTTTCTTTTTTGGTGTTTTGAGATAATTTCAAAAATAAAAATGATTTATAATTAATATTAATGCAATAATTATGACCCATTTTTTCCCCATTGAATATAATAGAAATTTAAAAAATATATATTTTTTATTTTTTATTTTTTTTAAAGCTGTATTTCATTTTAGAGTCAAGCCTAGGCCTCATGAAAGCAATTTTTGAAATGAGATGGATGCCATCTGGTGGACAAACTGAGCATTTTAAAAATTCAAAACCCATATGTAATCTGAATTTATTAGTGTGTATGTGTATAAAAGTGTGTTTGTGTGTGTGTGTGTGTGTGTGTGTGTGTGGATGTGTCTGTTTTGCACTCTTGATGTTTTATAGATTCACCCCTTCACTGTTGTGTGCTTTTTTTCTGGATCGTGGCTGATTTGTAGTTTGTACGCACAAAATAACTCTGTATTTTCACATTTTTGCCAATTTCTCATTCATTTCCTATGCGGGTCCATTTGGACCCGAAGGTCCTGAGTGTGACTATTTTTTTTACAACCACTTAGACTATTCAAATCCTGTCCCCAATTGTTTGGGGTGTTCATATGCCAAGTACCAACAAAGTCACCAAATTTCGGACCATTCCGATAAAGCAATGATTTAAAAAAAAAAAAAATTTAATGCTTCGGGTCCATTTGGGCCGAAGGACCCCAGAGGGTTAAAGAATTCGCTTGAATAAGAGCGGGATCATGTAACACTAGCCAAAGGATGACAAAAAATAACAGATGCTGCGTTAACAGCCCTAATTTGTTTATTTCATATAAAATCGCAGTATTTTGCGTCATATAATCGCATAGGCTTGACATCGCGATTACGATTGCGATATGATTAATCGTGCAGCACTAATATATATACATACACACACACACACACATATATATATATATATATACACATACATACATATGCAAAACCACTCAATAATCAGTACAAATAAAAAAAATATATAGATTATGAAAATGTCTAACTGTTGGATAAATACACCAAGAATTATTATTATTATTTTAATTTTAAAAAACATATTTAATTTAACTAAATTAAAGAAAATAACTAAATTAAAGAAATAATATTAATACATTTATTTGATGTCTAAACATTATTATTATTATATTTTATATTTATATATTTTTTGTGTGTTTTAATCTAGGAAAACAATACAAGAAATGAAGGTTCTTTAAAAGTATTTAAAAACTGATGACATTTCTAATGAGATGATTTAAACAGATATAAAAGCATAAATGAACCCAAATGCAACATGCGTTTTATAAATTGATTTATAACTCTGATGAGCACCTGAATGAGTAATTGAAGGTAGCCACCGATTTTCTTGACCTCCGTCTTGAGCTCCTCGGCTCTCTGAGACACTGTGTTAGAGCTGGGCTTAATGCTGGAGACCCAGTGCATCGTAATGAACACGGCCCTTTCAACAGCGGAGGTGGCCTTCACCAGATGAGTCTGGGCTTCAGCACTGCAGGCAAACACTGTTCACATACACACAAACAGAACGAAATGAGGCTCTTTGTGTAACGCTGTGATGACAGAGGTGTTGTGCATTCATACTGAGCTGAATATTGACACTGATGAATGGCTCTGTTGATTTAGGTTTGTTAAAAACGTTTGGTCGCTTACGGTTCTCCTGACTGTCGTCGTCAAGGTGCTCGTAAAGGTCCGCGATGGACCTCACGGCGCTGTGAACCGCCAGCAGGTCTAGGGTCAGTTTGTCGGCCAAGCTTTCGTTCTCTTCGGCAGACTGACAGGAGCGCAGACGTGAGACGGCAGAGCCAATCAGATCTTTGCAGATGCCTGGGAGGGCGGAGTCAGACGTGGTAGAGTGCAGGGAGGGCGGCTTGTTCATCAGCCCTGATAAAAAGACACGGTATTTCAAAGCCACTCATTTCCCAGGGAGATACAGTCATATTTCTTAAGCAGGTTATTTTAGTATGATTTATATATTATTTAAATACTATTTTAGGATTTAATTGCTTAGCTTTCATTTTTATTATTTATTAATTCATATTATTGTTTATTATTATGTTTAGTTTTCATTTTAAGTTTTACTTATTTTATGTATTTGTTTAGTTTTCATTTTTAAATCAGTTTTAATTCAGCCAAATAGTTTGTTACAATAATTTAGGGTTTAACCTAGTAACCCTAACCCTAATAACAATAATAAAATAACAACAATAATCAAATATGTTCAAAAACCTAAAGAGCTTCCTATTAAGACTGTATTTTAAGGCACTTTGAAGAAGGTTTCCATACAATGAAAGTCAATGGGCGCCAAAACAGGATTGTTGGGACCCCATTGACATTGAATGTGTGGGGGGAAAAAAGGTAGTCGCCATAAAATCAAAATTGACAATTCTTATATTTTTACAGATTGTTGTGGTGTTTATTATATTTTATAATATATCTTAAATTTTATAACAAGTATCCGATTCATGACCTTAAGTATCCGATTCCAGAATTGGAATCGATTTTCGATTCCCAACCCTAAATTTAAATGATGCTAAAATCTGTGCTAGGCTAATAAAATCATTTAAACAATTAAACTTCATATAATAAAGCCACTTCATTACACACATATAGATTACATAAAAGGTACTTTACCAGTGGACTGTGAGGGACCACAATGTAGGCTTTGAATAGGGTGCACTCGGATCTCATAGAGACGCCCAGATATCCTCCTGCCCTTTAGCAAACTTCTACTCCTGGGTCACAAGAAACAAAATCAAAAGAGATCCAGATACATTTGAACTTGAACCATTATTATCAGTCATTTAATTCTTCTTCAACAGCCAGTTACATGATGTACACTTTGAGTTGAATATCATTTACTGTTCATTTCAGGGAGTGAAAGACACAAGGAAATCACATGCAGAAAAGCAAAGGAACATCTACAGTATAAGCTTTGAGAAGAAGGGCTTCAGAGGTGTAGAAGGGGTTTTGATTAAAATACAGACTTCAATACAAATTCATGAAGGCAATGAAAATAGGTCAAACAAAAATGCTGCAGGAATGTGCTTTTCCTGAAGGCTTGGTTTATAAGTGGAAAAATAACATCATGGTGGAAGACAAGAACCAGTTTTGGGTACAAAGTATACTTCTTTTCTTTCGTTCCTCAAGTACAGAAAGCAGAACCGCACCATTGTGGACTAATAAACTCAAATACCTCCTGCGAGAGAAAGATGAGGTTAAGGAAGAGGCAGATAGGTCCTGTTCCCACTCATCATTAGGGTCGTAAAACACGTCGTCATCTTTAGAGGCGCTCTCCCCCTACAGCCAATAAACATCAGACTTGATTTAGCCTCCGATTCTTTTATGATAATAAGAACAAATGCCAATACTACATGCTTCCTGCTTTTACTGGGTAATTACAAGGAAATAAACAGGCTTCAAATGGCCTCATGTATTATTGTAAGTTCTAGGTTAAATACGCAGCACTGTTTCCAAGTCAAGTGTAGCGCAAAGTTTCCAATGTCAGGTGAAATGATACACAAAACAAAACAAAACAAAAAACCGAAATAAAATAAAAATGTATTAAACACCAAATAAAAAAAACTATTAGAAATATAACTAAATAAAATTAATTAAAACAACTTCCCAATGTCAAGTGAAATGCTACACAAGACAAAGATAATAATAAATATTTAAAATAACTTTCAATGTCAACAAGTGAAATGCTACACAAGACAAAAAACAAACAAACAAAACAAAAAAAAACAAGATAAGACAGAAACACTAAATAAATAAAAATTACAAGACAAAAAATAAATAAATAAAACAAAACAAAACTAAACACTGCTTCTTTGAGTGAAATAACACAAAACTAAATACTTAATAATAAATAATTAAAATAACTTGCCAAAGTCAAGTGACATGCTACACAAGACAAACAAACAAAAAATAAATAAAACAGAACTTAACACTAAATAAAGATAAAAATAAAACAAAATAAAGCAAAACTTTCCAATGTTAAGTGAGATTCTACACAAAAACAAAATGTTAAACAAAACAAAAACAAGTCAAGAGAACAACACACACACAAAAAGCCAAACATCTATTATGCAGCTATGTATACTGTGGTTTTGAACCACACGTGTCGTGGCATTTACTTCGCCACAGAAACGTCACCATGCACACTAGCTCAAGCAGCATGTTTACGCCTATAACTGTGTGAACATCTTTTATTACGCCACCTGCTCCAGCTCCCTCATGGCAGCCAAGTTGCTATGGAACTTCTCCAGACTCCAGAAGGTGGAAATTCCCAGTTTGATGTTCTGAACTTGGACCTGCAGTTGGGCGTCTCCACCCTCGTTCTCTTTATCGGTCTCATGTCTGTTGTGAAAACACAAACCCACATCTTTTTCCATTCAAACACTTTAATGTCCAGAATGAACGAGGGAGAATTAAAAATAACAGCCTGCTTATTGATAAAAAGACTTAACTAGCACTTTTCCAGTCATTAGCTATTACTGAAAAATATTTTATATGTTTTATAAATGTTGTCCTCACAAAGGGCAATTTGTAGCCAAACTACTTGGACTAACTTTTCCAGAATAATTGTACCTGCTGAAGACTGTGCGTTTCCTGAGTTTGGCACTGATTTTGTTTGCTTCTTCGATCATCAAAGACAGCTTCATTGAGTCCCACTGTGGGTAGGCTGCAAACATTGAAGACAAATATGGTAAATACCACACTGTTAAGAACATTGTTAATGGAAAACTCCATGTCTTTCAAACGAAAAGTGTCTATGTACCTGTTTTAGGGGTCTGGGTCACTTTAAGAGCACGTTTCCTCGCAATCTGGGCAAAATCTTCTGCAAGCTTTTTCTTCTCTGCCTCGAGGGCCTCCACAATTTTAGTTTGCCGGACATCATGATCGGCCATCGCCTATGAAATGTTTTTTAAAAATCTGAATAAGTCACAAATTAAACATAAATAGCTAAACTAACTGATAACTAAACTAAATAAATGGAACTAAAACTAAGTAAACCAAATAAATAAATGTAACAATAACTAAACTAAATAATTAAAATAACTAAAACTAATAAAATAACTAAAGTTAACTAAATTAACTATATAAATGACATAACTAAGAACTAACTGAAGTACTTAAAGCTAACTAACTGTATTATTATTATTATGATAAACTAAATAAATACAACTATAACTAAACAAAATAAAAATAAAACAAACTAAACAAAATAACTAAGGCTAACTAAATAAAAAGTACAACTAAGTTCATTAAACAAATAATATAATTAAGACCTTATTGAATAAATAACTATAAATAAATAAATAAAATAATATAACTAAACTAAACAAATAATATAAAACTGAGAAACAATATAACTAAATAAGTACATCTAACTAAATTCACTAAATAAATAATAACTAAAAAAGAACTAAATAAATATTATAACAAACTAAATAATATATAATATAACTAAAATTAAATAAATAATACAACTAAAACAAACCAAATACATAAATAAATAACCTAGTGTGTGTGTGTGTGTATTATATATATATATATTTTTTTTTTTTTTTTTTTTTTTAAGGTATTTGTTTTTCTTTAAAATAATGTTCAAAGATGAATTAAGATATTGAAGACCCCTGTGGTGAAAATCAAGTTTTGTATGCTGTTGCATGTGCAAGTTCATAAGTCAACACCATTGCTGAGTATTTTAGCCTTCAAGTGCCCCTATTATGGTTTTTTGAAAATGACCTTTCATGTAGTGTGTAACAAAGCTCTAAGTGAATGAAAACATCCTGCAAAGTTTTAAATATAAAAGTGCACCGTATATAAAGTTATTGTCTTTCAAAAGTAAAAGTCGACTCTAAGTCAATGAAATGAATAGTTTTTCAAACGAGTCCTAAGCCTTTTCGTTGTGACGTCAAGATGAAACATTAGCATACTGCGCGCGCAGACACCAGGGAAAACCTGAACCTCAAACACTGCAGCTGATTCCTGTGGATGCTGGATCACATCATGTCGAGAAGACCCTGTGCTCTAAAATGTGAAGGTAAAGCCAGTTAGCCACTGCCCAAGGACGAGCATGTGAAGAATCCGTGGTTAAAGTTCATCTTTACCACGATACCACAGCAGTGTAATCCTAAACTTTTGCCGTGTTCCCTTTATTTTATTGACGACTGCTTCTCAAATCTCGGAGTTCAATGTAGGACTTGCAAACCTTTTGCTCTTGAAAGATGATGTTCAAAATACTTAGTTTTGAGTTTAATATTGTGTAGGTCTCCTGCTAACTGGTTAACTCACGTTATCACTGTCTTAAAGGTGAACTAAGTAACTTTTTACCTTAACCGAACAGATTTGGAGTCATTGTAATGTTTATATTACTGATTTCGTGTTGAATGGTGGTCGTCTCGCACCCCCCCCCCGGTGCCTGTGAGCCGCAAAACCACCCTTGCAACTTTGGGCCGGCGAGCCGCCGGCCTCAGTGTTAAGTATCGTGTGATATCAGGTCTCGCGAGGTAACAAATTGCTTTACGGCAAAAAAACAGATCTGATAAAATTCTGATAAAATGAGCATCAAACAGAAATAACCCAGCGCCGTATACATGTGGTGTTCGAGGCGCGCACAGCTCTTAAAGGGGCCATACCTTATTTCCACTCGTTACAGCGTCCGTCCTACTGAACAGGTACCGGTGTACAGGGGGAGGGGATCCGGCCGTGAGTGCGAGCCATCTCTGCGTGAGTGCTATTCACGACAGTACAAGTACTCCACAGCGACTCTAGGGGTCGCTGTTTGACAAAAACGGAATTCCTACTGAGTGCTGCTTTAACTGAAATACTTCTGCTAATCAGTTGTGGGCAACTATTACGTAAAACAGTGTCTATTAATGCAGATTGTCTGTCGTTCTCACTACATTGAGGAAATATTAAGCATGGAGCAAGATTTCTTTTACCAACGTTTATGTTTCATCAGTCATTCACGATAGAGCTCAGCTAATGTATGCACTGTTATTGATACAGTTTCCACATGTTCACCGCAATAAATTAGAAAAATACTCGGTAAATAAATAAGTGCAAGTAAAATAATCGGTTTGTTGATGGACATGCACTTGTTAATGCTGATGTACCTCAAACTGAGTAGCGTATCACTGAGAAACGTCCTGATCGAGTCGTCCTTGTGATGGAGGTTCGGGTTGAATAACTAGTTCTTCCAAGGTTTCATCATCAGACTCACGCTAGGATTGATATGGTAAAATCGACGTCATCGTTCATTACTGTGTTTAGTTTACAGTGTAGGAAGCCTCAGGACAGCTGACGTTGTTATGGCAATGGGCATTTTTGTTTTCGACGCACGCTGTGCGCGGTTAGACCAATCACAACAGACTGAGCTGTCCGGCCAATCAGAGCAGAGTAGCTCGCGGAAAGGAGGGATTTAGAGGGAATGATTCATCTGACGAGTCGTTTGAGAATCATTGAAAATGTGGTAATGTGTATTATGAGAAAATTAAACAGTTTTTTGACCTTGGATGCATGTAAACCTGTTGCAGGAGACTCCAAAACAACATTAGGAAACTTAAAAAATAGCATAATAGGGGCACTTTAAAACTGCAGTGTAACAAAGACAGTCTAAAAAATGTGGTTAAAAACCGCCACTAATTCCTACCGTAGTGAACACGTAACCAATCCCATCAATGTGCGAGGCGGGGCTTTTCCTATCATTATTTCTAAGGATACTGATTGTTAGAAGGCAGCTGTCTGACTCTGAGATGGCAAACGAGAACATAGTTTGTGTAACATTAGCGGTTTGATAACGTAGTCAAGCCAAAGGCTAATCATATTAATTACCGTTATGTGTTGACTTTTACTCAGATTCACAAAGGGCATCAATTTTGATTTAATCTGGTCTTTCTGTACCTGTCTAGTAGCCTGGGCCTCCATCTGCAGACGTCTTTTATGGCTGTTGACTTCGTGCTCTAGTAGAGTCTTTGCTGTATGCAGTTGCTCTATCTGGCTGACGACCCTCTTTTTATCCAGCTCCTGTTCTCTTTTCCTCTCGCTCTCCTCCTCCTGAGGATGCATTCGATTAACTGGAGAACACTGGAGTCACACATGCTATCCATTGACATGCATCTGCTTACCAGCTCTCTCTCCAGAGCTCTGATCCTGCTCTCGTACAGACCCTTCTGTTCGCTCAGCTCTTTCTGTGCCATCTCTTTGGCCACCTGAATGCCCTGCATCATCTCCTCTTTGGCCTTCAACCGAGCCTCCTCAATCTCCGCTTCAAGTCTATGAGGAAAAGTGACGATAAAAATCAAGAAAGTCAAATATGAGGTCCTGTAGTGGACAATCTTATACTCACTGAGCTCTCTGGGCCGATAGCAGTTCGTTTTTGGCAAACTCAAAGTCTTTTTGACCATCTCCGCTGCTCCAACAGGACGCGCGCTTCCCGCTCTGAACCTCAGCGGGGTGGTTGAACCGAAAGTAGTGATCTCCTCCAAGAATCACACGGTCTCCCTAAAATAGAATATACAATTTTTTGATTTATGTGGAGGTTCTTAGAATGGACATCATTTCAGAGGTTTCGCTTCAGAACAGCAGCAAAAACGTACGTGGTGGAGAACGGTGACCTCAGACACAAGATTTCCATTCAAAAAGGTCTTGGCGTTCGGCATTGGTTTAATGCTTACGGAACCTTTCACACTGGAGATGACACTGAAAACAAGATGGAATATTGGAAATATATCAATTGATATTAGATATTTATTTGCTCATGGCATGCTCATTTCCTCTATTTTTACATTTTGATTACCTTTGTTATTGTTTAACGCTCACTTAAAGTTCACGTTTTAAAAATAATAATAATAATAGAGTGCCGAAGTGATGACGTCACTTTGTAGGACAACTCGGAAGCTAGCGGCGCATGGGTTCCCTCGATCGAAAAGCTATGCATTTTCCCCATAGACTTTTGGAAAATCGCAAAAAATAAGATCTGTGTTTAACAAAGAGTTGTGACCCTTACACGTTTTGTCTATCAAGATCATCTTTACAAGTTAATCCAAAAAGTATACATTTTGAAGCCTATATAAAGTTTTTAAAAAACACAAGCAGACACAATAAAGTTTAAAAAACCACAAGCAGGTTATAACTGTGTGTTCTATGTCATAGATCAAAACGTGAAAATATTTAGAGGCTTTGTTCACCACAGACCTTTTTTCAGGCGATTTAGCAAAAACCCATTCAAAAATCCCATAGACTTTAGAGCGAGGGAACCAGGAGTGCTAAAATGCTAACTCACTTCCGCGTTTTGGCCTACAGAGTGACATCGTAACTTCGGCACTCTATTTAAAGGTGACCTATAATTCAAAATTGAATTTACCTTGGTATAGTCAAATAACAAGAGTTCAGTGCATGGACATGACATAGAGTGAATCTCAAACTGGACTGTTTTCGCGTTCTCATTTAATTCACGTTTATGAAAAACACCCCTGAAAAACGGTCGGTTCTCCACACAATACCGACTGTGATGCAATAGTCGGGATCATTAATATGTACGCCTCCAAATATTTGCATAATGCCAGCCCTCAATGCCAGGCGGAACTGCGCAGCCGAAGCATGGCAGTTGCTCAGTGTGGATGTACACATGAACACAAAAGTATTTTTTAGTTCCTTCATCCGAGCCTCTGAAGAAACAATGGGTTAATTTTATTTTCTCTGGAAATTTCCAAACATTTCACCGACTGTTTCCTCAACTTGGGCCAATACAGAGCTGGCCTCGGATCGAGCTACCAAGCAACACTTTCTGATGTGTAATTGTTCAAGTTCAGACAGGTAATCTTCCTCTCAAAATCGTTCAATACTGTTTATGCATCAGTAAGTCAAGCCAGTGACTAAAATATCAGCTTCACATCGTTTCTTTTAGTAGGATGAAAATAATCGTATTTAAATTGTGAACAAATTATATACAGAAAGCGATCAAAGAACAATCTTTCCACACAGCGCGAGTTTATCTGGACACTTGCCAAACTCGTTATGAAATCAATGACGCACGTTACTGCACAACGAAGCTCTTACTGTATTTACATCATCGTGTTTGCATTGGTGAAAGCAGAGAGAGTGCAGAAACTGCTTTGCAATGATAAGATCTTCATTCTCGCGATCAACACACTGTCATCTGCTCAATGCTCATCACGGCAACATTTTATGTGATGGGAATAGATCTAAATACTTTAAAAACATCTCACGATTCGTTAATCTCGATAGCTGTTATAGTAAAAACGTATAATAGCAGTAGTAAAAGTATTTGGGAGAGAGTTTCACATGTAATGCGTAGCTATTTCATATGCAAGCATGTCAGCCAATCACAGCAGTGGCCGCGGTTACACTGAATCCCACAGCAGACACGCCCCTTCAAACAGAGTGTTCAAATCAGAGGCTAAAAGCAGGCTAGGAAAAATGCCATTTATTTCTAAATTATGATTATTTTTTATCTAAAAAACATACTAACATTATAAGGGTAACCCAGGAAACATTATAAAATAATAAAAAAAAACATTCTAGGGCACCTTTAACTAGAGTAAAGTTTGTGCACAACTGATGTTGGCTTGACTAGCCTAAAAGTTATAACTGCCATGGAAGAAATAAAGTCATTCAGATTTGGAACAAAATGAGGATGAGTAAAGAATGACATAATTTACATTTTTGAGTCAACTGTCCCTTTAAATGTGCAAATCCAATCATGTGTAAAGGTACAATATGTAACAAAACTGCATGCACTTTGCAGAAGAACATTGTTTTGGTTGTACTTTGCTCTGCGTGACTGTGGATGAATATGGTTATCTTACTGCTCATAAAATAGTCACTACTAGGCTTTAAAGTCCTCCTGTAGTCAATTATATCCCTTAAAACTAATCTTTGATCACCAAAATTACATAATTTAAACTTTTTTCCCTTGAAAATTTTTTCTTTGTGCCTTAAATTAGCTTGAATGTAACTCTACACCCTTGCCTCATTTAGTATATACGCGGTTCTATGAATATGCAAATAGCCCCGCCTCCACCCACTCACACCAGCTCAGAGATCCACTCGTTGACGATCACACGTTGACCTGATTGGTTACAAGGTAGTTTGTGACAAACCGCGTTTTTGAGACTGTCTTTGGTTCACGGCAGTTTTAAGGAGAAAATATTCAGCAATGGTGTTGACTTTTGCACATGGTTTGTCTTAAAGCATATTAAAATCACCACATAGACATATAAACAACATTAAAAGCTTGATTTTTACCACAGGGGGACTTTAAGAGATATAACCAGTTTAGATGGAAAGGATCTCAGGCTGACTAGCTAATATAAAGACGTTACTGTAGCTTACACCCATTAATAGACACGGTAATTCTGACACAACGCTACAACAACCATAATGAAATAACCCTTCACAATAGAATAGATAATGATTTACACAGTGCTACATATGGCAATTTATCCATTCAGTAAAATACCATAAAATCACCTGTTAAGTAATAAAAATGCCCCGCTTTTAAAACATTTCAAATCCTTCAGTTCTCGCCCTCTCAGAAAAGCCAAGCCAATGTTGATTCTGGTTTTATTAAAAGCTCTGCCGCATTCTTTTTTTGACTCTCCCGCTAAAACGGGATTCCCCGTAGGTTTGAGATTTAGCTGCGCCATGTCAACCTTTCTCGCTCGTTGTGACGACTAATCTCTGCCACTCACACACCATTAGGGGTGTAACGGTACACAAAAATCACGGTTCGGTACGTACCTCGGTTTTAAAGTCACGGTTCGGTACATTTTCGATACAGCAAAAAGTAAGAAATGCCAGAGAAATTTCCTATTTGTTAAAAGAAAAAAATATTTTTTAAATAAGTTTCCTACATCTGGAAACTTTCAGGTTTATCTTTGAAGGATGAACAAATAATGTTTTGGTCATCACATTAAAAATAACATTTAAATATATGAAGAGTTCAGATGCAAAAACCATTTGAAATTTTCTTCTAGAATGATCATTTTTATCAAGCTTGTATATTTAAGTTCAGTAATTTCACTTAAATGGCAATGAAGATTACCTATTAATTGTCATTTGAGTGAAATTACTGAACTTAAATATACAAGCTTCATAAAAATGATCATTCTAGAAGAAAATTTCAAATGGCTTTTGCATCTGAACTCTTCATATATTTATTTATATATTATTTGAGTTTTGAAGTGCTGGAAAAAGATGTGTGAAGTACTTGAAAGCATTTCACTATTCCAGCCAAACTGGTTACATTTAGTGTTACTATATTAAATCCATGGTGAATGTTGCTGGTCTGTGGACGTAAAGTAGCCTATTACTAGTTCATTCACGGCACAATGTTTCTCCTGGTTTCCACGTCAGCGCTGTTTGATCTAATAGAGATCTACGGTTAATAACGGAGAAATGTGAATGCTTCTCACTAGATCTCGCAGCGATGTTATTACTTCAGTGGCGAATTCAAATGTTTTCTTCACTGGATCTCTTAGCGCTGTGTTGTAACAGTGTCGCTTGATCGAGATCGGCTCGCGCTGCACAGATGTTGCTGGTCCGAACTGATAAATGATCCGTGAAGCACAATATAATGAGTAGCGCAGTTTCGTTCCGCTTGCCATTTGATGTTGCGCAACGTTGTGGTGGTCGCGCCAGTGCAAGTTTTTGTCGGCAGGAAAAAAGGTCCAAGGAATCGTTCGGTTTGTATGCGTACCGAACCGGAAGCCTCGAACCGAAATGGTTCAATGCGAATACATGTACCGTTACAACCCTACACACCATACATAAGTCAAAGTAGCCGGAGCAACTTTTCTCTATTTACAGATATGATGGGACACGTACAGATGACTGATGTACACAATTTCCCCCAAAAAACCATCCCACCTGGTCTAAAATATAAACACTTATAATAGGCTTACCATAGTGAATCAGGGTAAGACAAAAACAAGTTTTGGAAGAAGGGTTGATGATGTATTGACATTTAAACGTTGTTAATTTTTAACAACAACAACAAAAAAGTTAGTTAGAGTACCTTTAACCTGATATGTTCCTTTTAAACAAATCAAAAACGAAGTAAATGAAGTGGCTGCACCTAGACTGTGGATGTGATCTGTCTCACCAGTGTTCATCAGCGATGAGAGCTCCAGACAGCTGGATGTCGTGGGCCGACTCAGACTTGAGCTTGCCGACCTTGGTCTCGCCCTCTTTAATCATGTACAGCAGCATCTCCGACAGCTGCGGATCCTCATTCAGGTTCACAAGGTTAGGCAGCCGATTATCCACTTTAAAGGTGACGCCAGAGCGCTGAACGAGGATAAACAGACAAAGAAAGTGAAGCCATGAAACATTTGAAAAAGCTCATCGATCCATCAGACATTGAAGTCTGACTGTTATTAGCGAGAGTTTCATTACCTGCAGCTCTTTGGTTTCCTCACGCTTCCTCCTCTCTGCCTCTTCCAGCTTTTCCTTCCATGTTCTGCACATAAAAAAAAAAAAAAAAAAAAAAAACCTTGATATAAATTAAACTGTACTTCATTTAAAAAACAACATTTTAGTGCAAGTTTGTGAGAAAATCTTATATTATTATAAAATAAAAAATAAAATATATTTAGAATTATTATGTGTAATTTTTTTATATATATTGTTTTAAATTGTATAATTTTATTTCATTTAATATAATTGTAATTTAAAAAAACAAAACAAATGCATTGCATATAAACATTACAAACACAATATTCCATGGCATGCATTCATCTACAGTGGTGTGAATAAGTTATTACCCCCATGCTAAAGTTGCCTAAAAAGAGGAATAAAAAATCATCTTTTGGAAATTGATCTTAATGCCTTAATTAGAAAAATGAGGAAAAATCCAACCTTTAAGGACACCAATTTTCTTTGTGTATGAATAATGTATCATAAATAAATAAATGTTCTTCCTTAAAATACAGGGTGCATAAGTCAGGCCCCCCCTATGTTAAATTCCCATAGAGTCAGGCAGATTTTTATTTTTAAAAGCCAGTTATTTCATGGATCCAGGATAATATGCATCCTGATAAAGTTCCCTTGGCCTTTGGAATTAAAATATCCCACATCATCACATTCCCTTCACCATACCTAGAGATTGGCATGGTGTTATTTCAGTTAGCCTAATAGCTGGTTTGATTTGCATTGAAAGATGATCTTATGGAAAGTACCCCATGCCAATCTCTAGGTATGGTGAAGGGAATGTGATGATGTGGGTCTATTTTAATTCCAAAGGCCAAGGGAACTTTATCAGGATGCATATTATCCTGGATCCATGAAATAACTGGCCTTTAAAAATAAAAATCTGCCTGACTCTATGAGAATTTAACATAGGGGGGGCCTGACTTATGCACCCTGTATTTTAAGGAAGAACATTTATTTATTTATGATACATTATTCATACACAAAGAAAATTGGTGTCCTTAAAGGTTGGATTTTTCCTCATTTTTCTAATTAAGGCATTAAGATCAATTTCCAAAAGATGATTTTTTATTCCTCTTTTTAGGCAACTTTAGCATGGGGGTAATAACTTATTCACACCACTGTATGCATGCTATTCCAATGGAAAAACTGTCTTTGTATTCTTTTATTCAAATATAATTATATTCGTAATAACATGACTACTCCGTCTGAAACGGCTTTACTTTTCCACTGATGTCAACATGATGTCATGGGTTGGGAAAACAGCCAAATATGTTTTAACCCTCTAACATACCGTCAGCAGAGATGACGAGGAAATGCGCTTTCGGCTTTTTCTATTCTAAAACCGTATTCTGTGCCCTCAAACTAACCCGGCTACGGGCTTGAATTTCTGCAGGAACATCAGAGAGCTTACGGTTGTGTTCACTCCTGAATGCTACCAAGATTTTAGTAAACAATAAACATGTATTGTTATATTGGTTCATATAAAGGTAAAAGATTCAAATGTATAATTTCACTTACTGAAAAACTGAGCATTATTATTTGGTTTACATATCTTTGATTATTTTTAACTACACTACTTGTTCAAAAGTTTGGGTCAGTAAGATTATTTAATGTTTATGAAAAGTCTCGTATGCTCATCAAGGTTGTATTATTTATTTTATAAAAATATATATATATATCGTGAAACTTTTCTATTGTAATATATTATAATGTAATTTATTCCTGTGATCAAAGCTGAATTTTCAGCATCATTACTCTAGTTTTCAGTGTCACGTGATCCTTCAGAAATCATTCTCATATGCTGATTTACTGCTAAAGAAACATTTCTTATTATTATTATCAATGTTGAAAACAGTTGTGCTGCTTGATATTTTTTTTTATGGAATTTTGAGGATTTTTTAATGAATATAAAGTCCACAGCATTTATCTGAAATAAATATAATCTTTTGTAACATTATAAATGTCTTTACTGTCACTTTTGATCGGTATAATACATGCTTGCTGAATAAAGGTTTATATATATATATATATATATATATATATATATATATATATATATATATATATAATAAAGGTATTGTTATTTTATAATCAAACTATTACATTAATTAAATTTATTTAATAATATAACATATTATTATTGTTATTTAAATTAATAATAGTAGTAGTAATACGCCATTTAAAATCAAGTACACAAACATTTATTGTCAATAAGCTGAACACAAAAATAAAAAGGGACAAAAAAATAAAGGAATTTATTCTTTAAATATTTCTGCTCCATTCTGGTAACGCCCGCTTTCATCATTACAATCAGTTCATGTCTCCCAAAAACTGTTAAATTCAGAAATAAAATAGGTTGTGAAAGGGCACTTTATTTAATTTTCATAGTCATAACACTGAGTTTTGTATATCCACGCACCTGTGAGCCTCAGCCATTTCGTGCTCCTGTTGACAGAGTTTAGTCTTAAGAGTGGCAATCTCTTGCTGAAACAGTCTCATTTTATCTGGCTGGATGCCCTGAGCGCTCATCTGAGCCGCACGGAGCTTCTCCACCTCTGCTTTCAGCTCTGGACACACAGGTTATGTCATACACATTCAAATTATCCATGCAAAGAAATAAAAAAAAATACATTTTAATTCCTGTGGCTGTACAGAACACAAATCACTGAGGGCGTCACATTAGTGGATGTGCTGCCCTCTAGAGGAGAGCTGTGCTGGTGAGTTTCTCACAACACACCCTTCTTGACGGTTATGACAGCTGATGGAGCAGCATAAACACAGACAGACAGGTGACTGACCTCGGATCAGTTTGGCGTTGGTGTCCTCGTTGACTTTGGCTATGTTAATGATCATGCGGGCCTGCTGGGCGTAACGCAGCGTGCTCAGGCTCTCCTCCATGTTACTGGCCGCAGGGCTCAGGGTGGCGATCATGGCCGTCTTGGAGTTCCCACCGAGGCTTTCCTTGAGTAACCTGAACACAAGAGGAAGCTGAAGCACGTCTGCTGCTTTTAACAGCAATACATCTGGCATGTTATGCCATATTTTACATTCAATGGAAACTAACCCCCATGTTTAAATTTGATAAGTCGCTGGTCTTATTGCACACAATTCATCAGCCCCCATTTGTTTTCATAATCTTCCATCAAAAAATGTAGAATTATTTTCCAATTTATAAATTAAAACATTATTTTACAAATTGTATGTCATTTTCTGTGCTTCTGAAATTATTTTTCACTTTTACTGAGTAAACAGAAACAAGACTGGTCTGGTATGATAAAATATATGTAAAATAAATATCTAAAATGTATAGAAGATATATATATATAATAACAAATTGTATTATTACATTTATAAAATTATTACATACATTTATAATTATTATAAACGTTATTATTATTATATAAATTATATTGTAATTAAATAATATAAATAGAATTCTATTTTATCGCTATTATTATTATACACTTCTTGTATATATTATATATATATTATTTAGGTCTGATAAAGAGAGGGAAATATAATAATAATAATAATAATACAAGAAAAAAGACACTGAAATACCCTGACATCATGGCAGATACAAATAAAATGCATTATATCGCAGAGGCTGCGAATACTGTTTTGTGTTGTTGTTTTTGTCGAACAAAACTGCAGTGAAATATTATATAATTCAAAACTAAGTGGAAAGCAAAAGTTTCTCACCATGTGAGCACTGACTCTCTGTATGGGGTGAAGACTTTCTTTCTGCTCTGAGCCTGTTCTGAGAGCGATGAGATCACCTTTCCCAGCGTGAGCAGAGACTTGTTGATACTTGCTCCCTCCTGGGAAAAATAAATAAATCCACATCACAAATATGTCCAAAAATGTCGTAATCCAATCATTGTCAGAACAAATATATATGCCCCTATTTAACATGTAGAGAACAGTCAGCACAGCAGCAGAATGCATTCTGGGTAATCATGACACAGAATAAACAGAGCTATTGGATGCTGGATTACCCTGAGCCGGTCTCCACTGGTCTGGGCTGAATTACACCGCTCACTTCCTGCCAAATCCACCAGGTTTATCCGGCTGGTGATGTAGTGATCGTGCTCCTCTTCCTCCACAAACTCAGTCTGTGCGCATACAAACAACATCATATGAATATACCATTACAAATGCAAACTATTAATTTGTTGGTTGGTTGAAGTAAAAGTAGCATCTCACTTCAATAAGGCAAATGTAACCAAATAAATCTAAATTTAACCAAATAAATCTAAAGGTCTTACTTTAGTTTGCGTCATGACCAGAGTGAAAACAGAGTGCGATCTGGAGCTTTTATCGTTCATGCCGGTGGCGGCCGTGGCTCTCTGTTTGTTACCGAGTTCAAGCCAAGTCTGCGAAGATGGTGGAGGGAAAAATTAAGTTGTATTAAGAGTTAAACACATAAAAAATGTGTTTTTGAATGCATAAAGTTAACAGACATGCAAATTACCTGAATATCAGCATAGGATGTGACTACATTCCTGAAAGAGAACAGAGAGATTAGTGACAGTGGCACAAAACAAATCAAAAACAACCGAATCCCAACCAAAACAATAACAAAACAAAAAAATCTAAACCAAACTACAACACAAGAAAAGATTCGAACAAAACAAACCAAATCCAAACCAAAACAATAGCTCAACAAAAGAAAAAACAACCAAAACTAAAGAACAAATAAACCAGAACCAAAACAATGCAACAAATAACAAAACAAAAACATGTAAACTAAACAAAACCACAACACAACAAAATCAAACAAAAACCAAGCAAAACTACAACACAACAACATAAAACAAAATCAAACAAAACCAAATAAAATAACAAAACCTACCAAATCCAAACAATAACACAACAAAATAACAAAACAAAACCAAAATAATAACACAACAAAATAACAAAACAAAAACAAGCAAAACTACAACACAACAAAATGACGAAAACAACTGAATCCAAACCAATACACCTAATCCAAACCAAACGAAACAATAAAATAACTAAACAAAACTAAGACGCACTTCAAAATAAAAACAATAAAACAATTCTGAGGTTGCCCATGAGCATAGTAACCGTGGCGTTTGGATTAAATGTTTGCTTACGTGGATAGGTCTGCAACATAAGGCCCGTAAACAGGATGTTCTCTGACACGCAACTGGAAAAGACATGAAAAGAATGGAATTGCTGATCAATTAGGAAAACAAAAAAAAAACAAAATGACATTTGTATTGCATTTAATGTGTTTTATTGAGTAGCTGTACTTACAGGCATTTTCTTCTGGTTTTGTCCATCCTTTGCCACCAGCAAATCATGGATTTTCTCATTGTACACCTCAAAATAGCTCATCTCCAGATGGCAAGAGATCTTTAATACAAGTAAACTTTCATTTAGAAAGTCAAACACACTATTTTTAATTTTATAATTCATCAGTAAATTCTAAATAAATAATCATTCTAGGGGACAGTAACCTCTTTGGTTTCAGTTCTGGACAATCTTGAGAAAAGTTCCTCGCAGAATCTGGGAATAACTCCAGCCTCTTCACCAAAACCCATCATACTGTAAAACATCCAAAATCACACTTCTATATTATTGACATAAATAGTAAGCTGTTTTTCCTATATGTAGTTTGAAATATTTATTTAAAAAGCAGCGTCAAAGAGAAACATCACTCACGTGTAGGACTTTCCAGACCCTGTTTGGCCGTAGGCAAAAAGACACGTGTTGAATCCCTCAAATGCTCTTTCAAGCAAGGGCCGAGCCAGGGTTTCATAAACCATCTGCTGACTTGCAAAACTTGCATCCGATTCATCGATAGAGCAAAAAGAGAAGTCAAAGCTAAATGTGTAGTTTTGTTTAGTATCTGGATGTTGCACTAAAGTTTCTTGGCTGTCCATGAAGATCACCTGACGGGCTTTCTCATTCTTCTCCCTGCGGACACAACAAAATGGTGTAAATTTAAGGGCAAATAAGTGGCATTGTCCACTAAAATAATATATAATATTAAATATATCATACAATCTTATATATATATTGTTGCAATAATTAACATCATTATATTAAAATGTTCAGGTCAAACTAAATACTAAAACTTTTCAGAATATCTTGCAATAGCTATATACTGTATATAATTAAATAAATAAACTCATTTATAATTAATTGATAATTAATTAGTTTCCCAAATATTATTTCCCCGGAAAAAAAAGGTTTGCTTGATTTTTTTTTTCTTATAATAAATTGAATAATATTGAATGGTTGAGGTTGACAAATCCTATCAAAGTGAAAAATGTGTAAAAATCATGAAGGAGAAATGTGATCACATATGCTAGTCTTTCCAATTTGTTTTAGCATGGGTAGCAATATAAATTCCAGGCTGCCACAATTTTATGAAATGTCATATTTTATAAAAGAGTCAAATCATGCTGTAACAGGGTTGCATTAAAATCCGATTTTTCTGATTCTATTACTTTAATGACTTTTTCAGTCAGATAGACATGCCAAAATCACCTTTTTATGTTTTTTAAATAACAAATTTGCATAGTAAAAATTGTCTCAAAACAACATGCCGCCAAAATAAAATTTGAAAAACACACCTTGAACTGAAAGGTCTTACTCGAACTGCCACAGTGACCGTACTGTTCTCCATCTTCAGTTCTTGAGGTTGTCGAGCACTTGTTCTGCTCACAGCTTCAAGAGGAATATTTCCTTCAGCAGCAGCAGTGGCTCTAGAAACTCTTGTTCCTCCATGAGCTGTGGAGCTCATTAGTGTTGTGGGTCTCCTCACCTGTGCTGAATGTGATGCTGGAGTCATGTGCCTATTTAAAACACCAATCAGAACCTTCTCATTGGTTGCTCCACCGGTTTCAGTGCTCATCTGTGGTGGCTTCTGTCTTCCAGTAGTTGTGGGTCTAGATGCATCTTTACCAGCTAACCTCTCAAAGACGTCTCTCTTGACACTTAATTTCTCAAACTGGGTTCTTCTTGTAGGTGTCGAAATGGTTTTACCCTCATCATGGGTGGCACTGACCTTCTCAGAACTTGTTTTCTGAGCACGCCATGAGGTTGTCCCAGGTGTTTTAATGGTTTCATGGGACTTTTTTGCTGGAGATGGTGCTGGATTGGGTTCGGTCAGGACTTTGGTTCTGTTCATGGACCCTGTTCTAGTCCTGCGCTGAAGGGTCAGGCGTTTCTCTTCTCTTTGGTTCTCTTGTGTGGTTTCTTCATGGTGGTTTACATGGGGTTTGCTGGGTTTTCTCTGAAGAGTGAGTCTGGCACTGGAAGATGGTGTTTTAAATGTGTTTTCTCCACATTTTGTGAGTGCTGAGATCACATAAGTCCTGTTCACTTCTTTTGTTTTATTAAAAGATGATGTGTTTTCTCCTTCTTTTGATCCATCCATAATATTACGGGTCCAAACGCAACACTTTTGACTAAAATTGTTTTAAGATTGTCCAACATATACTTCAGTCCACAAATGTCTCCATTGTTTTATAATAACGAGTGCACGGAGGTGAACAACATGTCATAAGACTTAAAAATACATATTTACGTAAACAAATAGCCTAAAACTGACCTGCAAGTGTTGATATCCTGTCATTAAACAGTCGTTTTGTAAATTAAAAGTTATTTTGTTTAAGGATTAAAACTAGCGGTCCTTTCTTCTTCCCGTTTACTTCCGTTTTGATGTTGAGAAAGTAACAAAGTGTACTCCGCCTCGAAACGTCAATAATAACAACAGTTCACTGTTTCTAAGCTCCGCCATACTGCCGCTATAATTCAAAAACAGTAGGCGTGCTGTGATTGGTCAGCTCAGACTGACGCAACGATACACAGTAACACCCACCCACCAACAGATGGCAGTGTCTCTCCAAGCCTGAGTAGTGGGTGAATGGAGAGGGGGTTCAGCGAAAAATCGGCAGCTGGCAGCAGGAAGTAGCTGCCACTGGCAGCAGGAAGTAGCTGCCGTTGACAGCTGACCGTACCTGCCAATAAAACCGGACGTCAGCTGCCGCTATAACCGGAAATCGGAGGTGTATGCCGCTTTTAGCCAGGCAAATAATTATTATATTAATTTATATATAATTTTTGTACTTATTTACATTTTATTAGTAATTATTTTATATAATTTGATTAAAATCAAGTTACGAAGATCATAGAAATAATAAGAAACAAAAAAACAAGCTACACTTGAAATTATGCATTTGTACGTGTATAAATATAACTTATGAATGAGTATACATGTTTGTTAAATAATGAAATATATACATGCATAAATTAATTCCTATGTACATAAACATTCATTAAACTTAATGAAAGTCCTGTCTAAAAGAAAAAAAGAACATTGTCTTATCAATGACCTTTATTTAAAATCATATTTTGCTATCATTAAGTTCAGTTTTACATTTGCAGTACTTAAATACATTCTTGTATTTGTTTAATAAAGCAGCTGTAACTTTTGAAACAGGCTTGATATTTGGGGCATGAATGACATCAGTACATACATGTTGGCTACTTCTGATTGGCTAAGAGAAAAGTCTAAACAATTCTACACTTATGGATAGATAGAAGATAAGCCGACATTAATCAAGATAATTGTCATCCGAGTCCAAGACTTGGTTCGGTGATGACCTCGGAGGTCGTAGAAATGCATCTCGGGGTCTGTTGTTGCATATCACAAGACCTGCACAGATCATTCAACACACACACAAAAGCACAAGGGAATCGCAGTTCCTCCAAGGTTGTAGAGGGCCTAAGCTCATCATTATAAGGACAGACTACCAAAACATACTGATAAAACACTCCTTCCTCAGATAGTACGGACAATGATCACTTTATTCATTAAAGAAATACACATACAATTCTGTGAATCCGATCACATAAGTTAACTTGGTCAGCAGAAAACAGACTGATGAGGGTCTTCTTCAGACTTGAGCTCTTCTATTAGCTTATTAGCAAAGTTAGAAAGAAAGAATTTTAGTTAAGTTAAAGATTAGTTAGAAAAAAAGAAAGATTAGTTATAATAATAATAATAATAATTTATTGTCATTCCAGTGATACAACAAAATTACATTAGGGCATCAGTCGACAGTGCAATTTCAGGAGGTATAAGAGATCAACAAGGGCATATTTTGTAAACAGGACACAGCGGCAGATATCAACCAAGAAAAAAAGAAAAAAAAAGAAGGTGTATGAGGCGGAGAATCAATAGTAACCAGGAAAAGAGAGTATACTTGTATGTGCTGCAGCGATGCAAAGTCCGGTCACAATTATTGCAATGTTGGATAATATGCATAATAGACGGATAAACGAGATTAACAATAGCAAGGAAACAGGGAAAGCGACATAAAACAAACAAGGAAAGGGCATATGAGGCAAAGAATCACTATTAACCAGAAAATGTGTATAATTGTGTGTGCTGCAACAATGCAAAGTCCAGTTCACAGTTATTGTAGTTGTTGGGTAGTGTTAAGTGAGTGGATTAAGTGAGAGGAGGAGGTAGCCGGGGATGGTGTTATTCAGCAGTCTAACTGCCTGAGAATAGAGGCTGTTGGCCAGTCTGGCTTGAAGGGACCTGTACCTCCTACCCGATTGTAGCAGGACGAACAAGCCGTGTGCTGGATGGAACCGATCTCATGATGTTGTGTCCTACGCAGTTAGATGAGTTAGATGATTAAGTAGGCTTTTAGACTGGAACTGGTAGAGTGAACGAATTTGCACTCTCCAGCAGCTGACACCAATCACTGCAAAACCCTGGATGGGTGTTTTCCGAGTAAAAACCTTGCATTTCTCCTCGTTTTCCTCTTCCAACATAACCTAGAGGATTCATAAGAAAATTGTGAGATTAATATCCAAATTACCTTATTAACAGTGCACATGGATGCAGCCACATGAATGACTATTCTTATTGCATTTTGTCATTAAGCACATTTTCATTCATAATTGATGCACCTGGTAAGCAGTTCTTGTAAATGTCATTGCAGTGTCTGCAGGGCTGCAGTGTGTACATCTGATAATATTCTTGACATGTCTTCTCTCTCCAATTTGTTACACCTGAATATTTCAATTTGAGGAGCATAAAAATGAGCATGATTAAAAAGAGAATAATTGAAGACATAATTACATTTACATTTATTCATTTAGCTGACGCTTTTATCCAAAGCGACTTACAATTGCTATATATGTCAGAGGTCGCACGTCTCTGGAGCAACATACCAATACATTTCTCAGTTACCATTTTAAAACCACATTTCAATCAAATGTGTAAAAGAAAGTAAATACAAACATACTGTCAAGCCAGCAGAAGTGTGCCCTCCTCCTAAACGAGTCTGTATCCACCAGACTTCTGAATTTAGAACAAACTAAAGACAGATTTAACAAACCGGAATCACCCTCCTCAAGGACCACGTGAAGAAGAATTTCAGACAGGACAGCGTCTGGCAACTATTGGGTATTACAAACAAACCAAAAAATGAATACTGCCATTTCCAAACATCATGACCTAACCTCCCTTAAAACAAAATGTGCATCCTATGGGTGCAGGTAATACATGAAAACATTTAATTTAACAATAAGATATGTCATAAAGCTACTAGTTTGTGAGAAAATAAAGGCTTGAAATCTGTTCGTTCTTTGCTTCTGTCATATTGAATGTACTACTACCATCAAGATTTCGATGTTCTGTACTTGTCCTGCCTCCTCACTGATCGACATGGCTGATGTGCGCTTCTTCTTTCTAAAAACAAAACAAAAACAACATGCATTTCATTACCAAACATTACTTAGCCAAAATAGTTTTTATTTACATATTCTATCTATACCTTCCATTTGTCATTTTTGACAATAGCAGATTCACCCACCACCGCCTGATATGGGCCATATCATTCTGAAAAGCAAAAGATAAATTTGGAAATGGATGTTTAAAATGTCCAAAAATAATACCTTTCCTAAAAAAATATTAAGAGAAGGGATAGTGCTTACCTGGGTGAAGTCAAACTCCCAGTTAAACACCTTGTACAGTGCATACTGTCAGACAGATAACACATTTTTAAAGGGGTGGTTGATTATGATTTCACTTTTCTAACTTTAGTTAGTGTAATGTTGCTGTTTGAGCATAAACAACATCTGCAATATGAATAAGTTACGACGATCAAAGTTCAAAGCAAAGGGAATTTTCTTTATACAGAAATCACTTTTTGAGGACTACAACAAACAACTGGTAGGGAATACACAAGCTTCCTCCTGGGCAATATGCTATAAAAATTATCTGTAAGGTATTTTTAGCTAAAATTTTCACATACACGCTCAGGGGAAATCAGAGACTTACTTTACATATTGTAAAAAGGGGTATTATACACCCCTTTGATAATTACAAATATAGATCAAATTATTCACTTGTCAATCCCTGAAAAAAAGAAAGAAACTCTATTTTCATTGGGAACAGCCTGATAGTCTTTTGATGACAATTATGGATGTTGGGTTATCCTTAAGATAAATGTTATGGGGGGAAAAAAAACACCGTAATTACTTACCATTAGCATGAATACTCCACAGTCCACAGATCCTAACTGTGCTGGAACACCCTAGAAAAGAAATCAAAATGGAAAAATTTACATTTTATTTATGCACTAAAGATGGCAAATAAATCAATTGTTGTAACATGAAATCAATACCTTATTTTTAACAAGCTTCCAAGATCCTGGAACCATCTTTATTGCAATTGAGCTTAAAAAGAAGGGAAAAAGTTAATTATTTTATACACACGAGAGAGAGAGAACAAGAGGGAAAGAGAGAGAGGGAGAGGGAGAGAGGGGTATAGACAGGTATAGTCACATGACAGTTACCAGAACTAGGGAGCAGGTGTATTTTTTTTTTTTTTTTTTTATGCCACTGTCTATGCCCATCTAAAGCCAGAGAACAAAGTGTTGAACTGAACCACTGGACTTTAAAACTTTGAAACCCAGTTTCACAGACAGGGTTTAGATTATGCCAGGATTAGGCCTTAGTTCAATTAGGACATTGAAGTAGCTTTTATAAACAAGCCTTAGAAGTTTTTTTTACTGTTGTGAATATTAAAAGAAACAATGGCACTGACATTTTAAGAAGTTGCTTTCAGTTAAACCTGCATTTTAGTCTGGGACTAGTTTGAGACTTGTCTGTAAAACTGGGGGTGAAAGTTATATGGAACAATGAACAGTTCCATTATATTTTGTATAGATTTATATAAAATTAAACAAATATTAACAATATATACAGTATATAGAATGCATAAAACTTCAACTGGAACACAGAACAGTTTTTTGCCCCACGGAACTCCATGGAATGGAATTATACAGTATGTAAACCTGAACATTGATACACAGTCAGTATCTCCATAACCTCTAGGGTCAGTGGAGTCGAGGACATGTATCCTTTTAAGTTTCGGGAGTAATACCTGCAGAATACACAAAGCAAACTTCCTACAATATAGCCTGCCTGTGTGTAGGTTGGTTATTTCTTGTTTTAATTTTTAAGTATACAATTTTTATTAAGATAAAGAGGGAATACAATTAATGTCTAATTATGATTACCATAGAAATGAACAATATCAAATATGGCTGTCAGGCAAAACCTTGGATGAAAACAATGATTAAGATATTTCCAAAATTAAACGAATGGTATTTGAAGAAATCAACAACTTACACACAGGGTCCAGTGACCTGATTTGCATATAGGAAATAGGATGCAGTCTTTTGAGGATGCATCAGTCTGTTGGAGTGAACAGAGGAACAACAAACAGAGCATAT